ACATAGGAGGCACAAGGAAAGTGTCCTCAAGTCAGCTATCACTCCTATGTGTCCTGAAGTAATGGAGACTTCAGCCTTAGCTGTGATTTTCGTACTGTGTTGCAAAAAATTCCTAAAAATAATATCTGAAGTATGTATCTGAGCTGTACTTGAAGGCTGTCAGCATCTTTGACTCCTCTAGGCACTGAACCTAAGTCTTTATTGACAGCAGAAGCAACGTCAGTGTCAAACTCCCTACCCAATACTCAGGAACATCAGTGCCAACTAGGAGTAACCAACTGCAAGAGCAGGAAGCATCATGTCCAAAGGATCTTTGGCCTTTCTACTGGAATGCCTAACAGGCCTGGCAAATTAGTCCCATTTCCAGAAGAAAAAATTAGGAACTGACTTCAGAGCAGCAAGTAATTTCATCCAAGGCATGGGGGAGTCATTGGATAGTAACAGTTGTTTTGTCAGAGACATCTTGAAACCATTGCTGAGAAAAAGACAAAGTTCTACAATAAAATATCAGTCCTTTGAGGCCTCCTTTTGTCCTCTTAGTTTTAGTTAACAGGGATTAACTACATTGGTAATAGTGTGCTATCAGCTGCCTTCAATTTACCACAAAAGGGAAAAGACCAACCTAATGCAAGATCTTGCTAAATGTTACCTGCTTCAATATTTCAACCTATAAAGTCTTATCACATCATATAAATTTTGAGGACACCTTCTGATATTTCAGGTTTTCAGTAAAGTGTACCAGCAGGTCAGCTGTGTTCGTCGATGATCAAAAACATTGCAAGTTATTTTACTGAAGCGTCTTAACACAGATATCTGCTATCAATTAAAAGAAACCAACAGAAACTCAAGAGCAATTTATATTTCTAAACGTCTAGACATGCTCTGCTTCTACTGAAGTTTAAATACAGTCAAGTTTACACAAGAATTACTAATTGGTTGTAAAGGTCATGCCTTTTGAATATATGCATATTGGAGGTTGGAAACCTATTAGACTGTGGTATTATATTTAGGCTCAGTGCTGAATTTGGATTAAATGGTGTTACATTGATTTGATGAGCTGCTCAGATACGCTGATGCTTTAATTGAATGTATTAGAAGATGTTAATTCTAACAGATACACCCTTAAAAGTAGTAGCTTAGTGATTTGAAATTGCTTTCTAGTACAGGCCCTTGCTGGTTTTCAAGAAAGAGAAAGAAGTATTTTGGAGTCCTTAATCTGAGACTGTATGTTAATAAAGGAGAGGGTCTTTCTTTTCCTTTTCAATATGGATGAATGCCCTTTGAAAGCCAAAAGGGAATTGATGTAATCTATTGATTGCCATTTAAATGCCTTTATAAGCTAATTAGTACAAAATGTTAAATGTTTCTGAGCAGAAAAAAGCAACAACCATGAAAATACAGGAAGGCTCATTTGGTTCTTAGATATACTGGGGGGACAAATGCCCTGATGCAGAGTCACCACCTAGTGAAAAGTGCGAATAGCACCTGCTGTGAAACTGCTATAAAAACCAGGCTCTCTTGTTTTAACTGTGAGAGCAACATCACGCCGACAGCAGTCATTGTGTGCACTTGCAACAGCAATGGTGGATCTTGCTTCAATCTGCATATCTGAGGTAGCATCTATCTGGAAGACATTGTGATGTTTAGGGAAATAGCCAATGCTGTAAAATAGGTCACTAGCTGGAATCTGCCCAGGTCTGAAGTGGCTGAAAGTCATTACCATCTGTTCATCTGAAATGAGGAGCTGGTTTCATTCCAGTTCCTACCAGATAGGTATCCACACTGTAAAAGAAAGATTCAAAAGTATTCCTAGTTGGAAATGGGGTTGGCAGAAAGCAGTCAGGGACTGAAGGCTCTGAAGAAGCTCCTAGCACATACAAACAAGATGGTGGGTATCTGAAGCTCATTTATGTGTTTTTCCCTCCATGATGCATTAGGAGGCAAATTTTCCTTGCTGTTGTCAGTCTGGCACCTTTCACTGGCCAACAGCAGCCATTAAGATCAATACCTGATTAATATCTTTGTTTGAGAAACATTTCAGCTTTACAGCTCTAGGAAGAGAGCTTCTTTATGGGATCTTGGAGAGACTGTCCTGCACCTCCTGTGTGAAGTCACGGCCCAGCTACAAAGCCAAGTTACTGTTGTTGGTGCCTCTATGCACATGCTGACCTCCTGCTCACAGCCAGGTAACTTCTCCCATCTCTAGGGAAGATTTAGCTACATCTCACATGCCACAGCCAGTGTCTGTGTACATATGCATGGGCAACCAGTGTAAGTTGAAAGAAAGCTGTATCTATAAGAAAGACAGGGACAGACTTTAGCAGGGACTTTAGCGACAGGACAAGGGGTGATGGTTTTAAACTAAAAGAGGGGAGATTTAAACTAGATGTAAGGAAGAAATTTTTTACAATGAGGGTGGTGAAACACTGGAACAGGTTGCCCAGAGAGATGCCCCATCCTTGGAAACATTCAAGGGGCTCTGAGCAACTTGATCTATTTGAAGATGTCCCTGCTCACTGCAGGGGGTTGGACTAGATGAACTTGAAAGGTCCCTTCCAACCCAAACCGTTCTGTGATTCTATAAGTAAGGATTCACTAACTGGGTAGTGTAGCCATCCCCTCAGTTAGAAGCTTCCTTTCTCACTGGGCAGACGATCCTGACCCACACAGTCAACTGTTGCTTAAATTGGTTAAGTACTGGAGGGGAACAGGCAGAAGAGGATATTCCCCTCACAGAGGGAATGAGCATCACACTGTACCCAGGAGAACTCATAGCTTTTTCTGACTCAGACCACTATCACTCCCACTGATGCACCAGTAGTAGCAAGAAAAGTGCTTACGGGGAGAAAAGTATCCCAAACCACAGAGCAGGCATCGGCTGTGCAGCAGGCACTCAGAAACCAAGCATCCTCTAAGAGGTATTTCAAGTTTTAGCCATCATTACTTTCTTATTAAATAGCTAATAAAGACTGTACAACCAAGTATTTATGTGAACATATGTCTTTAATCTAAGGCAAAGCTTTTGCCCTTCTCAAATCAACTGAAGAAGATTCTAATTACAACAGTTTCATGGCTGCATCACTCTATTCAAATTAATTACTCTGCAAAAGTTAATACAACTGAAATTATGTTGTGTGCCTTGAGAACGCCGAGGAGAGAAGCACCACCTAGGGCCCATTCTCCTTCCCACTTGTCCCATCTGGATCACCCGGAGCTGGCGTTACGCCCTGCTCCACCACTGCTGGGGCTCTGCCCTCCTCCTTCCCCATCTGACTCCTCTCCCTGCCTGATGGAGCTGGCAGCTCCTGACAGATCACCCTCATTTACAGCCGTGCTTTCTCCAGCACCAGGAGAGAGTCACAGCTCATCTCAAGACCATTAACAGCACAACAAAGTATTCATACATTTACTAGACTTTGTATCCTTTCACATGAAACACTCATTCCTTTGATCTCTCGGTGAGAAGGATTTCCTTGTTATGTCAAACTATTAAGGAAACGAAGAAACACCCTCATACAATCCCTCTTTCTGTATTTACAGCAACAAGATATTCAAAAGATTTTTTTTTCCACCCTAAGAACAGTATAGTGACTGTGAACAGCACCAATATTTCTAATCAAGTTGTGCTACCTCTTCTGACAGGTCCACTCCACTCATTTTTGCTGTGCAGATAATGTTGCCTCAGGCTGATAATTAAACTGAATACAAATTTTTACACACTGATGCCATCCTTACAAGGTCAGTGTTTATCTTACAAGATTTTAATAAAAACAGAAGTGGTTGTGACGTACCAGCCACCACAGTTAATTAAAAACTACCGAGCATCTATTCTTTTATAAAGATACTACACACAAGTAAGGCAGAGTGCAAAAGCTTCATAAAATGCCATTCACTTCCAGCTTGACATCAGATTTATAGATACATGTAAGTGTGCGTGTGGTTGTGTATTGAAATTTTTAGCAAATTCAAGGAGCCATCAGTATTTGTTCAAGGAGCCATTGGTATTTAATCAGCCTACAGCAGTAAGGTTTTTTTTTGTCTCCCTCCTCCCTGACATCTGCACCTGGCCAGCATGCGTGACAGGCAATAATTAGTCCTGCAAAACTGACCACTTTTCTATACAAAAAAAAAGTTGGTTTGAATGGCATCTGATTGGCACTGCTGAGAGAGAACCAAGAGCTCCTTGAAAGGGCTGAGCATTTCAGTTCTCCCTTGGAAAGGCCAGAAATAAGAGCTTTTCAGGTAGCAACGTTTTTAGATACATAAAAGTGGTCTGAGGTCATATTTAGAGTTTTTAATGACTCTCAGGGAACTCTCTGCAGTTCAGCTTGTGGCTTGGCAAGTGGAGAAAGAATGGATGATCTTAAATAAAAGTGTATACTCCCCTCCACCTGCAAATATTGCTAACCCAGTGTTTCCCTAACCAAGGTGAACACACACCAGTGTTCTGGGGTACAAACATTTCACACCTGATTGCTTGATACCACCATGGTCAGACGCTGGTGAGCGATGAAGGCACAGCAACAAAAATTGCAGCAATCAATGTACCATACAGAAATGAATGGCAAGACATACCTCCCATCCCCCTTCTCATTCTGGCAAGCGAACACCGATGTCGGATGGCATTAACGGCTGCCAGCTGGGCAAACACAGCAAGTAGGTCAAGAGCATCACTCCTCCAAGAGTTTCTTTGCTAAATATTGTGCTAATGATGGCATTATTGCTCATCAGACCAGTTTCTGAGACTGGTGTTAGAAAAACCCTTCCTGTGATAGTAGAGGTCAGGTTTTCCATCTTGGTATATGTTTCAAGTTGAGCAAATCCACCCATTTTTGATAAAATACCTTTTGATATTAAAATCTGCACTCAGGCCTGTCCTGATTGCACAAAGTAGCTTTCACTAGAACAGCTACTACAGTTAGGTAAAAACTAATGACTGAAAACTGTGTTTTAGGCAGTTACAGTTTAGAAAAGCTCTAATGGAGATTTAACAGACTTACTCTAAAGAATTCTTTGGTTGAGCCTGAATCCAAAGTGCCATAGGCTATTTCGGTTTGTTTAGCCAGGTCCTCTGCACTCTCTATGGGAGAAACCATCCTTTCCACCGTAAGGAAGGCAGCAAGATTAGCAGTGTAGGAAGAGATAATGATGAGAGTGAAGAACCACCAGACTCCTCCGACAATTCGCCCTGAGAGAGATCTATGGAAAAACACACATCATCAAATTGCTTTGAAGACATTCCTTGATTGTTTGGTTTTTTTCTTAATTATTATTTCATTGAAAAGAAATTCACATGCACAACCCCTTTGTTCAGGTCCTCCAGGCATCTGTGAACAGGCAGGTTGTGAGCCTGCTCCTGATAGCCTTCCTCAGGAGAGCAAACTCGGCATGTGCCTGGTCTTAACCTAGTTAAGCTCTCTCTCCAGCCTTTCAATGAAAAAAAAGGACAGTCAATTAAGAAATAATTAATCTGAGCCAACCCCATTGGAGGCTTGGAGAAGAACAAGCTTTCCTGACTTCCACTGACCCTTTGCTGGAGAAATCTTTTGCCAGAAGACTTTTGTCTTCTCTGCTTGCCCAGCCTTGCCCTGAGGCTGGATTTGCCTGCTGCAATATGCCAGCACCCTGTCTCTTTGGGGGCTGCCCAACTTAATGGACATGAAAGTACCTCAAAATGTAAGATGCACTAAACTGCAAAAAGGAATCTGAGTAAATGTGCAAAGGAATAAAGCAAAAATTATCCAGAATCTTTCTCTCACCACAACCTAGCAGGAATTACAGCCTGAATCTGCATATTGAAGTGAGGAGAGAGGCTGGTTTGTTTTATGGTTTATGTTAATTAAAATTTGCATGTTGCACTGTTCCAAGTCAAGCATATTGCTGCTTTATAACCACCAGAGCAACAGAGAAGGAAGCAGAAAAAACTTGTGTTCTGTTTTTGGCTTTTTTTTTTTTTAAAGGATAATATAAGGACTAAAAAAAAAGCCTATTTGTAAACATATAATAACAAAATGCATAGTGGTCAAGGGATCTAGATCATGTCAGGCAGAGCTCTTGGTGCTTTAAAGCAATTAAAAATCAGGCTGAAAACATTTGTTTGGGGCTGAAGATGTCTGTGCCATGCTGCTCAGCTGGGTGTGGAATTTCACCATGTACAGTGCTGATTCTTCAAACATAGCATGTTGACCAGGAATCATTTCAGGAGTGGAGACAAAGCTATTTCATATGTTTTCCCTTAACTCTACCAGTACCAGTGGAGGAAGAATCAATCCCAGATACACTAAATCCATGGAAGCTGGGTGATGTAGTCCTCAGTTTGTGTGAAGGGAAGAAATAAAAAGCAAGAAAACTCTTACCTGTTTATTTGTTTCCTTCAAGCCCCTCAGTCCCATCCCCAGACAGTGGGTACAAGTTGTCCTACCAACAGATGGAGACAGGAAAAAAGCAAAAGTCTGGTGATGTCCCCCCACCCCATCCATGCAGGGGGGTTAGCTGGTAAACTGCCTAGTCTGGGCCAGAGCCTGAGACTGCCTGAGCCATTAAAAAAAATCCCATGAAACAATATATTAAGAAAAAAAGAACAAAATAAAAAAATCCATCCAACACTAAAGAACACACCAAAGAAAAAAAAATGCCAACACAATAAAAACAGAGAGAGCAATCTGGAATAGGTTAGAGGAATGTAGAGAGGTGAAGCACTGCTATTCTCCATTCTCCTCTGCCCAAGAAACTGAAGCAGCATCTCCCACTGAGAGGGCAGATGCAGGCTGGCTCCTATGGATAACAACACACCATGTGCCAGCGCTGCTAGCACCCCTGGGACTGCTGTGTCGTGTCTGAACCAGTGTGCAAGGTGGTTCAGGTGGTTAGAAAGCTTAGGGAAGCCCGAGGAGTGAAGCATCACCTCTTTGTCCATCAGGAAGCAGCAACTTTCGAGCCGTGAACTCTGAGAGACATTGCCATCGCTCTGGCCTGCATGCACTTCCTCATGGCAGGCACGCATCTGCTGGATCACCCACAATCCCTGGAGGCTTCCCTGCCTCTCTTGAGGGCCTCCCAAGAGGATAAAAGGCTTCCAGGTTTCAAGCTGGGCTGTGCTGCAGTTGTACTCACTAACAGAAGGCTACTGAGTAGCTGCAAAGGTAAGTTGCAGAAATATAAATCCAGAACAATGTAGTAAGTCAAGGAATCTCTCTACCTTGCTCTACGTTCTTGCTAGGTATCAAGTGAGTATCTTGGAATTTTACAGATGGCTAAAGTCCTCTCTGGCCAGCTCCCTTGCCAGGCAGGATGTCGGCTTTAGCAGCTTCCTTGTAAAACTCAGTACCCTACACACTGAATCAGCCTCTTACATGGGCTGATGTAGTTTTAGCCAACTACAAAGCAGTACCTGTTGAACTCATCGCATAAGGCTCCCTTTGGAGCCAGTGGAGAGAAAGAGAGGAGATGGACATCCTCAGAAAGAGATTCATCTCACTTGCTGTAGTGTGGGATAAGTCTGAAGGTGAACTTCTGTCCCACGACAAAGTCCCACGACTCTGGGGGGAAGAGAGATGCCTAAGTGAAACACAGCCCACTGCTTTTAGATGGTTACATCAGGCGAAATTCATCTCCCGTTTGTATATGCCTTCACTGCATACTTTCAGTCTTCAGAGAAGACCTGCAGTTGAATTCCTCCTCCCTGCAGCAAGGTGGACAGTTTCAGAGCCAGACTGAGCAGAAGTCTGGCTAGCAGGTACAGCAGATGAAACATTCACTTGCATACAGCAAGACTAGCTTTAGCTGGGGTTTCCAGATTCCTGTAGCCCTCTTGCTTTACAATGGGTCATGAAACAGGAAGATGAAAAAAAGACTTGCCAGGGTGTTTAGATAAATTCAGTGGAACTACTGGGAACAAAATAGTATATGTTAATTCTCCCTACCATTTCTCACAGGAAAAGTCTTACTTGCATTAGCAGCTGCCTCTTCTGTTAGCAGGACAGATGGGTTCCTGGGATGAAGAGGTGCAGAAGACAAGCATTTTCCAAACCAGTGAAAGCTCAAGCTCACACTGCTGTAACAACAAAAAGTCTGTGTCGAGCTGCATGCTCATACAGCTTATTACACACAGAGAAAGGCAGAAATATCTTGCCCCAGAGATCACGCAACCTGCATGAACCCAGTCAGACAGATACAGGACAAAAAATGGAGGGCAGTTGAGAGACAGGGGAAGGTGGGCATGGCAGGATCCCTTGACAAAGAAGGCACTTCCTCAAGGGCCCTACATGCAAGAGAGAGGTCTTGCTAGATGAGGATCAGAGCTGCTCTCAGAAGAGTTGAGGTCACTTGAAAGAAAACTGGATGTCACTACAGAGTTGTTTCTCCCAGAGTCTTTCACTGAGCACGAAAAGGAAGACCAAACAGCTCCTACTACGAAGCAGTCTGGACTGATGTAGCTGTAATTGGTGGTAGCACAGGATGGGACAAAAGAAAAACAAACCAAACCACAAAGCTGACACTGAAGGAAAGACAGAAAGACAGACAGACAGAGTTGAAGAACAAGAACATGGACAAGCACGGCCTGGCAGCCTCCTTGTCCACAGGACCCCAGCTCCCCCCAGTCCATCTGCTGATACGAAGACTCCTTATACCCACTGCAAGGGCTGGTGTAGAGGGATGCAAGAGAAAAAGGGTTAGTACATAAACAGCTAGTAATGAGAGAATACTTGTATGGTTCACACTGTGAACCACAAAAATGTTTGTCCATTACTCAGATAATAATTACAGAAAAATGAATCACAGCTTTTAATAGCAGCACCACTTTTCTAATGAAGACACACCTGTCCAAGTGTGCACTGTTGTAATTTAAAAACAAACAACTAATGCTTTATCCCAACATGTCATTTTCCAAATTATCTCAATAAATAGATACTTTGCATGACATTATTTTAAAGTGAATTAGCATGTTAACAAATGAGAGCAGTAACAAAGACCTGGAATTACAGAATTATAACTCAATTATCAAAACAAGGTCAGACGGTGTTTTCAAAAGAAGTAAACAGGAAGAGTGCATACCTTGAGAGGAAATTTAAAAGGAAGCATGGAGTCAAATGAGAGCAAATTAGTAACAAGAGAAAAACAAAAGACGCATTCAAATTCACATTCAATTTCCAGAAGAATAATACATTCAAACAAAATCTCATTTATTTATCAAAATAGCTTGAATTTTGTTTCTACTCATGGCCATATAACATATTTGACTTCCTATAGTACACAGAAATAATAAGCTTCTCACACTACTCAGTTTTTAATTGGGCTCTTCTGATCCATATAAGACAGCTGTTATATTGACAAATAGCCCCATACAACACTGGTGCAAATTCTCCTTGTCTAGAACCCCTTCATATTTGGAGCAGACGTTATCTGGTACCCACTAAGCTGTGAGCTCAGCCCCTTGCCCAGCCAGCCCTCCACCTCTCCTGCCAGGCTTGTGCGGCCCCGCAGCCCTCGCCTCAGCTCTTGAGACAACATGATAAACAACAGCATCTAAAGCATTGACTTGAGATGCTTCCATCATAGGAACTGGCAGTGGGAGTTTCAGAAAAACCATTACCCAGCTCTCCTTGCTGTTTTGAAAGTCCCACAAAGTCATTCCCATGGCCTTTAATAGGAGTCTCTTGAGTCTTTGGCTGTGAAAATAGGGATCTAGAAATACACCCTTTTAAATGACCAACCTCATGAGATAGTTTTTAATGAACCCTCTGTCTTTTTCCATCAGCAGTTAATTAATCTACTCTCTTTGTTCCTCAGGAATAAAGAGCAAAATGAAAATATATGCTCTCATAGAGGTTTTAAAGATCCTTTCGCTCAGGACGGTGTTATAAATTTGACTGTGTTTTCTCCTGATTCCATTTGCTGTACACCTCTAACATTAAAGCAAGTTTAATAATCTACTTTTGATCCATCAAAAGTGAATTTTCAACGCTTGAGCTTACTATGCAGAAAACACAGCAGCCTTTGATAGCAGAACGAAACTGCTGGAACAAATGTTGATTCCATCAAGGGATGCACTAAACCCCATCCTTTGGCTGCTATCTGATTCTGTTTAGATGACTCCTATTAAATACAGAGAGGAGAGTATAGGGATATATCCTCTGGAATATCCACACAGCATACTCACCGAGGATAGATCTAACTAGTCATTAGATGTCACAGCTGTTCCACACAAAGGCAGCTGAAAGAGCCTTTATCAGCAAGTACAAAAGTGATCTCTCCAGACTGCTTGTCGGCATCTCTCTACAAGTGCTGTACGCTCTCATATAAGAAATTTATTCAGACAAAACTCACAATGGAAGAATGAAGCCCCTTTTAATGGCAATAAAATAGTATGAGACATTCATATAGTCAATGTACTGTGAATGGCGTAACCTTACAAAGATACAGATTCAGAATGGAATACTGGTGAATAGTCCCTTCTACGGAAAAGAAATTTGACATTTGATCAACTTAAATCAACATATCAGTCAAAGGAACAGCGTTTCTGGAATTTAAACCAAGGTATTAAATTTCTCTTTTTTTCCAGTAAAAATGCATGTAACTGCCTGGAATCTGTTATCATGAAAGATAACAAAATAACTGGATGACGTCTTCAAACAAGGACCATATCCTAATACTGAGCTAAAAGCTTCTGATGGACAGATAAAACAAATAGGTTTACTGCTGTCTTTTTTTTTTTTTTTTTTTTGGTAGGTATTTCCAAGGCACTTATCATGGTAATATTGAAAAAAAACAGAGTATGTTCCACTCGTTATGTAAGGTAAATGGCTGAACATGTCAGAGTCACATGAGAGCTTAACAAAAATCCTATGGACTTCTATTTAACTGTCAATAAACAGACCTAGCGGAAACAGTGCAAAGCCTGCAGCTTTCCATGTGATGTCCCAGTGCTTATTTCCCGGTCCTTTATATTGGGCACACACATGGTCAACAGCAATTTAAATGTTACCACTACTCCTCACCTTTAACAGCAAGCTGAGAGGCAATGTTTCAATACAGAATTTAGGAATAAAGCAGAAACACAGTGTATAAGCAGGAGGAGAAGGCTAACAGCTATAACTCTACAGTCAGGCAGCACATCCAAACACTGATAACTCTGCAAAAACTATCACGTGGTCAGATCCAGGCAAAAATGTGTGTCTGTTCTACATAGGATATATATGCATCTGTCCATAACCATGAAATCTAATTGCTGCTATCAAGGCTTTTAAAACATATACACGACTTGCATCAAATACCAACAGGCATATGCCAGTATTTCTGAAAGTCCTGGATTTCACTGTGATCATCAGGAGATTTGAAAATGCAATGACTGTGAACTTACAGGCTCATTATTACAGGTAAAATCATGATCCTGTCCATGAAACTTCATAGAAGTTTTGTCACTTGCTTCAGTGAGGGTACTCAAGATCCTTACCGCTATACGGACCAGGAAAAACCTGGTAACTTTTCAATCATTCAGGTATTGAAAAAGGTACAGAAATATGGAGATCGACAAGGTGCGTTTCAAACATAGTGCTTAGTTAGAAAAGATCTGGCTTTCTTGCTTTACTTAGCAACCTTGTTAAAGGGAAAAACTGCATTCTGGTTGTACTAAGCAGGCATTTTTAATAATTAAAATAGCTGTGAACTGGTTATTAAAATATTGTCATACAAAATGTAACTAGTACTCCATCACTAAGAAACTAGATAATGTTCCTGCTAATCACAGGCGCATCACCAAAGTATTTACCAGTGCAAATGTAGAAACATTACGTATGTTACTCAAAAAACATTTGTGGTATGCATTGTTCAGTTAGAGAGAGCTTCGCTATTCTCAGGTGGTTTTCAAAATCCTTCTTTAAAAAAAAAAATATAATTCTACAGTAGTTAATACCAGTGCTCTCTATTAAACTGGAACTAATATCAAACATGTTTTACTGCAGCCTTATTCAGAAAGACTGTCTTCATGGATAAGAAAAATCTTTATGGAAACTGGCAATGCTTATTAGACCATATTGACTATGAACACAGAGACAACAGACTAGACTAGACTGAAATAATGATACACATACAGGGTAGTAGGAAATAACTGTTAGAGGAGCACATATGGAGATCTGAACGTATGAAAGACAGTGCTAAGCAAATTAGTAATAGATGAAAGGATGACTCAAGAAGAACAAAACTAGAGAAATTAGGCACAAAAGAAAGTAAAAAGACTAGCATAAGCCATGATGGGAGTGGAGGTGTTTTAAAGTGCTGTTGCATGTGACTTTTTAAAATAAACAATTCTTATTTTGCAAAGCAGAGTATGTTATATGCACCAAGAAGATGACCGTAAAATGAGATATGCAGCAAAAACACGGTAGCCCTCCAAGCATTGCTGAAAACAGAAAACCCTATGCATTTTACAGCCTCAACATGGTGTATATAAGTTTGGCAGAAATGCATAAATGGCATTATAAGGCAATGGCACTCACTCTGGAGGTGAACGTTAGCAAGCATGGTGGCTTGATGATGATGCTTAGCACTGAATGGAATATAAAAATAAAAAATTTAGAATTAAAAAGAAATTTGAAAAAGTAACATATATGCACCATGGCATCAGAAAATGACCATAAAATGCAAAAAGGTGATGGAGTGATATGGAACAAACCTTGGAGAAATATCGCATCCTTGCTGCATAAAGGCACCCAGGGAAAACCAAAGGCTGTTAAATATTCCAAACTCATTTGGAGGGTCGGGAGGATTCTGAGGGTCACGTGGTTCTTCACTGCTGTCTTCCAAGTGCCATTCGTAAGGGCTGAATCTGCTGACTAGGAAAAGAACTACGCTGACGCCAATGTAAGCAAAGACTATACACATCCAAATTTCATAAGCCAAAGGATCCAGGAAAGAGAATACGCCAGGTTTAGATTTCTGAGGCTTCTTGATCATGATGGAGATGCCCAGGCTCATAAAGGGTTTGGAAAAGTCTATGACTTCTTCTCGTACCAATGTTATGGTGAGGGGAGCAACAGCTATATCTGCTCTCTGAAAAAGGAAAACAAACCCAAGTTAGTTACAGAACAGTTGCAACATAATCACAACCTACAGTCTCAGGCTAATGAATCAGATTATAAATTACAAGAGTGAGCAGGAAACAGTTTCTTTGCAGCCTATTTTGCAGTCCCTGAAGTTAAGGACTACATGATATGGGTAGAATATTATTAAAAATAAAAACTGCAATCAAATCTGTTCAATGGCCTCATGACAGAGGCAGATATGTACCAACACATATTTGTGTTTCTATTAAGTTAAAAATAGATGAATAAACACTACACGAACTGGACAGTGAAATGGCAACTAAAACAATGTAATTTTTTAGTAATGGTCTGTATCCATCCATCTATCTTGAAGACTTTAGGTAAATTATGTGTGTTGTATTTTAGTTTTCTCTTTTCCATACTTTCAGGAAGTTCTCTTGCCTTACTGATTAGTCCAGGATCTTTTAAAAGAAACTAAAGAGAAGTAACCAGTCACTGAATTTCAGCTGCATTTGGGCACTACCACTCATATGCTCCTTTGAAACCCAATTGCAATAAGGGATGGTAAAATAGTGGGGTGATAGGAACCAGACAGCCCATCCTTTCTGTGGTCACTGAAGAACAATAATGCAGATTTGTGAGCCCCTGAGAAGTAAATAACCTGGGTTATCTGAGAAGACTGCAAAGTAATGTTTTTCAGTATAATGGATGCCATCCTATTTTACAGAACTTAGCTCGATAGATCTGTAACACAGACCATCTCCTAGGGCTGTGTCTTCTGGAAGCACAACCTCATCTCATTGCATCTGTCATTTATCAGCATGTTAGTATAACCTGAACCAGTACCCTTCCCTTCAATCCATTCATCTTTATTGGATTCCATGGGAGGGTAAGAATGTGAAGTAAAAAAAAAAAATTACTTAATTACCTAATTAAAAATAACATTTCAGAACAGATTTTCAACATATTCAATTACATCTGTATTTCTATGCCAGAAAGATTGAAGTCATGACATTTAGATAAGCTAGCCTTGATCCAGACAAGTACTCAAGCAAGTGTCAGCATTTACAAGAGATGACTAGAATGTTTTTAAAAAAGCCCTTTTCATTTAAAAATTGTTATGAGAATCTACATACCTACACACACTTTTTTGTAATCTTCTACGTTAAACACTCTAACTGTTCATGTTCCTGATACTTTTAAAGATGACCTTTCATTGGTAATTAAGAATTTCAGAAAAGAAAAATGATTCTTGGGGGAAGTTTAATTTACCAGTACCTAAACCACTGTGCAACTTTTAAATCAGATTTTTGTTTCTCACTAGAAAATATGTATCTCTTTCCGGTGGAAAAATAAAACCTGATTAAGTAGAAGTCTGAATAAAAGTTAATAGGAAATGTTAATAAGTGGTGATTAAAATCTGTGCCATAAAATAATTAAATATGCCTTTATGTAAATATAGTGGTGATGTATGTGACTTTTATTAGCATCTGATTTGTTCCTTCTCCTAGATAGTTATGGTTGGTTTTGGTTTGTTGGGGTTTTTTTAAGTTTAATAAGCAGAAATAGTGAAGGTTTCTCCTAAGGTTAATCTCAGTGTGGCAGGCTGTGTGCCAGCTGGTGTCCCCGTGGCACTGTGCAGCCATGCCCCAGGCACTTGCTCCATGTTTTGAGGCTGAGGTTAATGGCAGATTGTCGGAACTGAGGACTAGCCCTCCCCACAGCAAACCTCCCTCCACCAATACCCATCTGCACACACGACCTCTAGATTTGCTCCAGCCACTTTGTACTGGCATGTGCAACTACAGGGTATGTGTACAAGTCCACTGCTTGGAATAATCAGATAAACCATGACTGTGCACATAAGGAGGCCACTTGGAAATGGTGGCCCTTGGTGTGCCCTCTCACAGCCCTCCTCACCCCTTTAGATTTTCATGCGTACTAGGACATTGCCCTTCCCCTTGAGCGACCGCTTGCTTCAGGGAGAAAACCTTCACCTGATTCGTGCTCATTTGCTGCAAAAATCTAATATAATGTGGCTTGAATATAAAAACTGAAAATGCCAGCTGCCTTTGGATGCCTGGGTGTTTACTGGCTTTGCAGATTAATGTGTTAATCACTTAAGTAACAGAGAGACTTGGGAGGACAAGAGTAGAGTGTGGTAAAGTTATCAGATGATGTGGAACTTGTTCACTAATTAATTCCCCCCAAACATTTATTTGTCTTGTAGCTGCTGCTTGTTGAGCTGCTGTTAAATATGAGATGTCTGCAGTCAGTGAGCATGAGATGCACACAGAATATCAGTTTTAAATATAGTCAAGAGTCGACGGTTGGCTGGAAGACTAAGCACTTTGACCATAGCTACTGTACTTTGTGTTGAACTAATGAGGTGCTTACAAATTAATCCTTATTAGAGCAAGCTTAATGGATCAGGACCCCTGCAGAGACTTAGCAATGATTCCACGTGAAGTGAAGCTTAGGTGGGCGGCAGGTGTCTTACTGCCCACACTTCTGCACATGAACAGCCAGCCTTGGAACAGCTCGTCAAGGTAGGAAAAGGCTAGTTCAGCTATAAGAGCATTTAGTTTCTGTAGTGCTTTCCTGGACTTGGAGAAATTTAATTCTCCCAAAGTAATATTTTAATTGTCAAAGTAGACACAGTGGAACTCTTCCTAAGTGCTGATGTAGCATGCAATAAAGTCTGTATTCTCCTTCACGAGCAGCTGAGTTCGTGCAGGGTGTTCCTGTGGGGTCTTTGGGAGGATGAAGCTGATGTTGTGCTGAAGCACAGACGAATCAGTTTTTAAAGGTCTGATTGTTACCATGTCCTCATTCATATCATACAGTACAGATTTCTTTATAAATTATTTAAAATTGCATTTTAACATTTTAATATTACAAGGGATACAAATATTTATTTTTCTGATGCATTTCAGTCTTCCTGCTTTCTCACCATTTTTGATAGGCAGTCAATATATTGGAAACACCAACACATACCCACATGCTTTCAATGAGTATGGCAACAACTGTTTTCTGCAGAGGTAACAAGCATGGTACAGACATAGGGTCTCGGGAAATCATCGACAACCAGGGCACTGAGAGTGGACCAGCTACCATCCAGCACCTGAACTTGGTTCCCCACCACTTCCCTGAATATTAGTTGCACTAGAGAGGTTAAAAAACACACCGCTCTTTGCTTATTTATTTAGAGATAGAGTATCTGAAATTGAGAGCTTAAGGAGAGCTCCAAGCACCCTAAAGGATCATTAATAATTGAGGTACAGTTGTGAATTTCCCTCCCTGTTATGGCTGCAGATAATCCGAACCCATAAAAATTGAGCTTGATCAAAAAGAACACAACCACAACCATGCCCTTCACTGTGCAGAACTGGAGCGGGGGTTTAAGAACCTCAACAACTAAGCTTTGCTAATCACTCATGACTAATGGCGTTTCAAACATCATCTTCACTGCATTTGAGCTGGGTGAGAAATGTCATGGATTCCTCTGAGGCTTGTTCCGTCTTTGCCTACTAGTGTGGGAGGGACGGATTTAGAGGACAGGCAGCACAGAGGCACTACCCACTCTGTTCAAAGCTGACCCCAGGGGCCTGCAAACCTCAAGACTCTTAAGAGGAGGGAGGAAAACAGCAAATGAAAATATCCCTCTATATGGAGAAAGAAAAATGATAAGATGTTCCACCTCTGTAATCCAAAAGAAGGGATCAAATTCTTCTGCTTACAGACCTAAAGATGAGTCTTCCTAACTTCAAAGCCATCTACTAGAGACAGCGAGAGATACCAGCTATGCTCCTGCCTGTATGTGCTTCTGGTCGTTTAGTTTTGCAGAACTGGACAACTTCTTTGCTAGTGTGTCACTTTTCAAGAAGCAGGCCTGGGCTACAGTCACTTTGCAAGACCTTTGTGTGACAGCCAGCACCCAGACTACATGGAGACCGAAGCAAAGGGACACTGCCTGATTTCCATCAGGTGCCAAACCTCCAGACACCCCAGAAGTGCTGAGGGCAGGTACACAGCAGCGGCAGGACAGACTGTGCTGGAATGATGACTGACTCTGAGCACATTTTAGGACCTCTCAGTGCAGTCTGAGGTTTCCAGGTATCAGAAAAGGGTGTCAGAAGGAGCAACACATCACCAGTGGTATCTGCTGGTAAAAGCTACTTTGTAAAGACAGTCCAGAATCCCCAAGGATATCAGGGTGCGTTGAGAGGCCAGGTCATGGGGGCATTGTGTTTTTAATGTATTAGCTCACACTTATTTAAAAACAGCTGATATCTGACTAGCAACATGTTGCACCGAATTCTTAATGCATATTAGCCGAGCAGTGTAAAAAGGTATTAAGGTGTTAGAACTACAGGTGGCCTTGTCTGCCATAGTTTGTCAATGTTAAGTCCACATGGGCTTTATGTGGATGCCCACAGTTCCTTCTGAGACACTGCTACTGTATGCAGATGGAGCAGTTAAGGGTCCATCTTTTTGAGCTGTGGATATCCATGTGCTTCCTCTATCAGCCAAAGTCTGGGATCACATCAGCGTGGCTCTGTGCCAGGGCTGCGGTCCTGTCTCCCTGGCAAGGTGCGGTGTCACTACGGCTCAGTGGCTGCCTGGGCAGGGACGCCAAGTCTGTCCGGGCCAAGGGTCCCTCTGAGCCACAGGGCAGTGGCATCTCACGGCGGCCTTTGGGCACTTGTGCCTGGGCTTCCCTACTGTGGAACCCAGGGGCAAGGGGCAAAGGGCAAGCTCTTCTCGCTCATGGCACAGTCAGGCTCTGCCACAGACTAAGAACACATGGGACAATTTGAGGAGAATTAGGAATTGAATTAGGAATTGAATTAGTCTTCCTCTCTGCTGGGATCCAAAGGCTGTATGTGCCATCTGTAGTTCTGCTGCTGGGAGAGCAGGAGAGGCCAGTGCCACGTGAAGCTGGTTAGTCTGTTAAAGGCAGGTGGTCCCACTCTGACAGACTGTGGAGGCTGCCTGCGTTTGGGGGACTATCTGTCCCTTACATCCCTCCTTTGTTCCTTTATGCTATTTTACATATCAAAAGATCTTTTAAAGACCTTTTTTTACCTGAGGAGAGTATTAAAGACTGTAAGGTCTGGCTGCTCTTTCCACTCCCAAAGCATTTGTAGTCACAATTAAGATCTATGTTAAACCTACTGTCAATTAGCCTTGAAAAGCATCAGGCCCAGGGATGGAAGGCTTTCCCTGGCTGAACAGTGAAGGAAGAACAGCAGCCTGCTTTAAAACGGAGAGAAGAAATAAAAGCCTACAGAAACAGGCTTGCCCTACAGAAGAGAAAAGACGATTGTCTGGTGCTCAGCAGCTGGTGGGTACAAAGCCCTGAGCCCCGGCCCTTCGGGGTGGGCGCAGTGGAGATGCTGCTGCTCATCAGCCCCGGCCCAGGGCACGTCATTAGCAGGGGGATCACTGGAGGACACCACTTGCCTTGCTGGTTTGCTTTTCTGGGTAGATTCAGTCTCCAAAACTGAGAATGATTTAGCTACTTCCCTTTTCTAAAAGTTCCAGGAAAAAAGCTTTACCTATTTGCTATTTTTATTCTGTCAAAATTTTCCACTATGTTTTAGAAATTTCCCTTACCTTAGTGCTTGAATTGGTAGGGTTTTTTTCTAGGAGGAAGAGGCTTATTTTGACACCATCGGAGTGAAAGAGCAAAATGAAGGTTTTCTTCAATCTGAACTGACATTTTTTGTTTTATGAAAAATCAAATAAATTTCATTTGTATGTCAAATTTGACTATTATCATTATTAATTATTAATACTACTACTGCTACCAACAACATTTGAAAATTGCTAACAAACTGCAAGGCCCCGTTAGCTCCTCTCTAAGAAGACCTCTTGGTTCTCCCATCTGAAGCAAAGGAGTTTGGGAATAGCTGCTTGGCCAGAACTCCCTGTCTCTAAGGCTGCCATCTCTACACGGCCAAAAAGCAAACCCTTCCCTGTAACCAGGTCTATTTGTACAGCCCACTGCAAAGCCACAAATAAAGGTCAAAGAGGACAGCTGAGATTGCCCTCGACATTGGGGAGCCCTATGGCACAGCAGACTTTTATGCCCTGCAACCAGCCCTGAGGAGATATGAGACAGGGGAGGGAAAATTTCTAATTATTTTAGTCTGTCTGTCCCCAGGTAACGTGTAACTCTTGGGACTGTTTCTAGTTAATGCAGAACTCTGGCAAGTCTTACAGTGGAGCCAGGGCTGTGCCAGTCAGCCTCAGGACCCACAGCGCTGTGACACAGCACCCCTGTTCCTCTGGGTCCAGCACACTGAGCCCCCTCCCATCCCTCCCATCCCTCCTCGCCATTCAGAGCCCTCCGACACAGCAGTCTGGAGGCTGCAAGGACCCAGCTGCACTTTTTCTCCTGACTCTATGCTGCATCCCACAGGAAGCAAGAGCGACAGTAACAACGAACTGGCACAATCTAAACATTAATTACAGTTAATGAGGGTTTTGGCATTATAATGACAAGCCATTCACTTCCTATGACTGTCCTAAGAGCAATTTTGGAAAAGAGCTGTAGGCATGGGGCTATGCAAAAATGGGCACAGTATTCAAAAGGCCTGGTAAGACTTCCCAGCAGTGCCAGGTGGTGGCGAGAAGCTTGTTGGGTCAGGAATATGCTGTATTTGACAAATGACTAGTCACTGTTTATCACTTGAGACAAATGTAATCTAAAAGATTGTGTTTTCTGCCACAGCTCAGTTCAGCTGCTGGATAACTGGTACCAAAACCAATCAGGCCCCTTTTATCCCCCCATGCTTGTCTTCCATACATTCTAATAAAGGCATTTAAAATCTAATCAACCTCTTGTCTCCCCAAAATGGAAACCAGAGGTGCCAAATATGACAGTCATTTTGCAGACAAGGCTCACAGGGGCATTAGGGGTAACGTACAGTTTTAGTTCCCTAATAGAGTTTTAAGCCCCTGAGAGACAAAGTCAGCATGTAAATGAGGCGCGTGCTCCAAATAATTAGCACTTCTAGAGCACTTTTCATCTTCAAAGGGCTTTGTGCACATCCTTGTGAGCCTGGTACACAGTCCCCACTCAAAAGACTGAGAAAGAGGCCAAGAGTATTTCATGGTGTTTACACACAGGGCTGGAAAAGGGTCTGGAGGCCGATGAGGTTTGTACTCAGAGTTCAGGGGCTGTTTTCCCTGCTTACAGAAAGCCAGGTGGATTTCTGTGCAGCTTGCCAGCTCAGAAGTTCAGCTCAGCAGGACAGGGAGCTAACTCAGCAGTGCTGGGCTGTAAGCATTAACCTGAGTCTACAGTCAAACCTCAAGGGATGCATCTGACCTTTGAATAATTGAGCACTGCAGTGAAGAGGCTTCAGTAACCAAGCTCGCAGCGTGAGAAGAGGAGCTGTTGGGGGTCAGGGAGGGAAAAGTTCCTCAATTTTTCATTAATGAGAAAACACAGATGAAAACTGTGCTTTAGAGTACAAAGAAATAGACCTTTCTGTAGGCGAAAATGACATTGGCAGGATGGGTGTGGGGTTGTTTTAAAGTACAGTCTACGGTGTCTGTGAAGCTGGTTTTTGCTGGTGTGGAAAGGTCACGAGTACGGTCGAGTCAAGGGGAAGTGGTTGAGGCTCAGTTTGATGCTAAGGAGGCAGAGCTCAAGGGATTGTGGAAAAGGCAGCTGCAGCCAACCTGTTTATCATAGAATGGTTTGGGTTGGAAGGGACCTTTAAAGGTCATCTAGTCCAACTCCCTGCAGTGAGCAGGGACATCTTCAAATAGATCATGTCCAACCTCATCTTTAATGTTTCCAGGGATGGGGCATCTACCACGTCTCTGGGAAACCTGTTCCAGTGTTTCACCACCCTCATTGTAAAAAATTTCTTCCTTACATCTAGTCTGAGTCTCCCCTCTTTCAGTTTAAAACCATCACCCCTTGTCCTGTTGCAACAGGCCCTGCTAAAAAGTTTGTTCCCATCTTTCTTATAGGCCCCCTCTAATTACTGAGAGGCCACAACAAGGTCTGCCTGGAGCCTTCTCTTCTCCAGACTGAACAACCCCAACTCTCTCAGCCTTCCCTAACAGGAGAGGTGTTCCAGCTCTCTGATCATTTTTGTGGCCCTTTATCCAGATGGATCTGGCATCATACGGCAGCTGCACAGGCTAATCTTACTTGGCTCAAGTCCCAGAGGCAGTGGCCCATATCACACCTTTCCTCCTCTGGTGTAGACGGTCCCTGTGCCCTGGCTGTCAGCAGTAATTTCTGCTTCTCTTTTGTCATGTCTTTTGCATATGGTGTGATTATTTTTTTAAGTGAATAAACTGTTTCATTGCTTGTCACTTGCAAATATATCAAAAGGACTCAATTAGAGCTAATACTCTTGATATTTCTCAAACCACACACAGGGAAACTGAGGGTTTAGGTTTCCACTGTGATGTAATTATGCTTGGAACTCAACTAAACCTTTGCTTCAGAGGTTCTCGATGTACTTGTATTCTCTGAGAGAGGTAACACCAGTTTGCCAAATTGCCTATTGAGGCAAGGGGAGTTCAAAAGATCTGCATAATGTCAAACCTCAATGCAACAGAGAAGTGAAGATATAACCCAGGGGTCCAGACCTCTGTTTACTTTTTCTAATCAGTAGATTTCCCTCCCTGCCCCTAATACAATACTACAAAACCATTCTTGCTTATATAAAATATTTTGAAGTCGAATAGGCTACCAAGTATATAATAAGGCATCAGGACCAACTGCTCCAGAATAAGAAAACTTTTGCAAATCTAGCAATTACTTTAAAAAGACTGATTCATTTGAAAAGAATTATCTCGCTAGACATTTTGCAAGAATGATGATAGGTTATCCCAAGGAAATTTTGAGGTGAGTTTTAGAAATTACACTCAGCCATGGAACAAAGAGAGGCAATGGAAATATTCGCTTCTGCTCAGTTATTTTTAATAAAGGAAAGCTTGTTAAAAATAAACTGTAAAGATTTGGGCGGAATCACAAATCATCTCATTAGCATTTGGGGGAAAAAAAGCAAAGATGAAATATCAGCTTGTAAAGTCTTTTCTGCAAAGCCAATTTTCTCCCCCTTCCATCTGGTTTATCTGTATTCCAAAATTCTCATTTTCAAAAAGTTTCTGAAATGGCAATTCCAGACTGTTTTTGTTCCTACTAAACAAAGCAATGTACACCCAATATAGAACTATAAAGAAGAATGCAATAAATTAAGACTTGGGGTTTTTTTGTCTGGGTTTAAACCCAAGGTTTAAAAATTTAAAAAGATGTGGGTGATTGCACACCTGCATTACTTCTTACCCTGAAATCAACCATGGTGCTAACTGATCAAGTCTCTGGTCAAACACAGACTGACATCAGTGATTCAACAAGGGCCAGCAACATAGGATCAGACCTTTAATGGGAGGGGCACCCTTCCAGCACTTAGAAGACTGATAGAGAAAAAGCAGACATGACAAATGCAAAAGTAGCATATGAAGTGAAAACTGGAAATTCTGCTCTAGACAAGAATTTGAAATTTGCCCAGTGCTACTTCTCAACATTTTGTGAACTCTGATTTGAAGAACAGCAGTAAAAAAGTGACATTTCCCTGCAATGAAATTATTAGAAAAGTAGACTATAAAAATGACACTACAAAGAAGTATCTAGAATTTTAAAGGTGGTATTCAAACAGACGATTTGTATTTTGCATTTTATTAACTTTGAGCATAACTTTTCATAAAGAACATTAAAATGAAATTTAAGAGAAACTTACCCCATAGACCAGTTCACCCACCATGCCATTCCATATCTTAGTCTCAGGGTCCCTAGCTCCATATTTCCCATCTCCAACAATTGACAGTTTGTATTTTATTCCAACATGTTTTGCTATTTCAGAAGCTAAGTCTACACAATATCCTTCATATCTCTCATTCCCTTCTAGTTGTTCATGGTTTTTCTTATACATTACATATGGTGATTCCTTTGAAACAAAAGTAAAGATCAAAAGTCTATGGATGCAAAATACAGGTTTAGAACATACAAAATGAGAACTGTTATTATCCTTTATATTACTGGCAAGTATTTACAATATTTCCTGCTTTGGTACAGAAATTAGAAAGAATTTTGCAGTTTAAAATCCTTGACTGATCCTACAGCCACACATACTATTGATTTTATTCCTGGTATAGACCCATTGAAGACAACGCGACTATTCCACTTTAACAAAGTTACACTTTCGTTTGCAGGGTCAAATTGCATCACTGTAGTAATAATTCAAGTTTTAGTGTTTAAAGAACTGATGCACCCAACACCTGTGCCATTAAAATAATTTCCTAAGGGCCCAGTGGCTTAGAATGGGGCTCTGATGGAGGTACTTTCAAAGCAGCCTAAGGGAAGCTAGGCTAAAACCCTCAGCAGCAATTTTTGTCACTAAATTCCCTTAGCCTTCTTGGAAAATTCTAGCTGAAATGCTGATTATATCTCGCTAAATCCATAGGAGTATAAAATACAATGCTTCAGGAAATAGCATAAAATTGGTTCATGCTTAGTAGAATTGTAACAGGCATAAAAGTCACAAACAATACTGTACAGAGCACATCTGCTAGAGGCATTGGGACTGACACAGGTGCTGCTGTTTACGACACAGGAAGAACTTTACTCCTTTGGATTTGCACAGGTATAGGTCACTTTTCACTCAGTGCTAAAGCAGTTCCAGTTCTCCACAGGCTTCATTGTGCCACCCTTACTCAGTCTACAGGGCTTGAGTCTACAAGAGCTGCACCTGAGGGGTGCAAGATTTGACCCTACAGCAGGAAGGTCAGATCCTGCAGTCATTTACATACATCCACAATAACTTAATTTACGTGAGGCATTTGATTAAGTTCAAGTGCCTGAGAAGCAGCAAAGCGCAATATTGAGCTCAGTGAGCTCTTCCTGTGAGTAAACTTATTGATGCATATAGAAAATTGTAGGGTCAGGCCCTCGGTACATCTCTGGAAGATACTGAATTTTTCAATCACTTGAAGTCACACAGTATTAAACATTTGCCTCCTGGCAAGGTGTCTAACACACCTCAGGAGCCATGTGTCTTGTTTCCTAAACACAAACACACTAAGAACATAAAACTTACCAAGATGGTAGTGACTACTATAGTTCTGTTCTCCACAGATGAAGTGTCATTAGAGGGCAGCTGATCTAATGCTGGCACAAATCTTTCATACTCATTCCAATAACCAGCCTATAAAAATGGAGATCATTACCTTGTTGCATATGTTTACAAGGAGTTTGTAACTTGTATATGTTGCATGTTTACAAGGAGTTTGGTGCATGAACTTGTAACAGGAACGGTCAAAACATATGGCTTTGTAACACTTATTCATGCAACATTTGTGCCATTAAAGGACTACATTATCTTCAATTTAATTTCCTTAAAGAAACAATATTCTCAAGCCCACGTGCAAATAAACACAAGCTGAATCTAAGTGAAAATGCATATTAAATTCTCCCTATCTAAATTCACATCATCATGGTGCCTGTGGAATAACTTCCCATCTATCCACAGCATAAAAATATACTACAGATAAGAAAATAAACTGCACAGCATTCTAAGCAAAATTCTTTGATTTTGTAATTTTTATCAATATTCTGCTGCAGTTCAGACAGTAAATACAGTCCCTGCAGACATGCCTAAGCTAGCTTTAGAGTAGATGCACAGACATCGTTAGCAATGCAGGCACAGTGGCATTATCTTCAGTACGGGATACAAACACTCTGTGAGCACGAGGTGACTATTTGTCAGCTGTCTTGTGCTGACCTTCATGGTGCTGTGGCTACATTGCTACGCTATCACACTAGTTTTTGTATTTCTGCACAACACAGAAGCAACACTTTTGCCTGCACTGTAAACCCAGCTGAATGGCTGGTCATGTCCAGAGGTATTTTGTTATCAAATATGTGCAGAAGAGTTTAAGGAGTCTCAGTAGTGACTAAGTAGGTTAGGTACCTATAGCCAGGTGAAACTAGGGGGATTTATGTGCCTCGGCCACAGAGATTCTTCTCTCTATACTCCTGAGACCCTGCCTACCTAATTATTTTTTTTAAATCTGCCCTAATTTCTTTTATAACAGGGATCTAGGCAACTATCCCACTTAGGATCTATACTTTATTTAGGAGACAAGAGAATGAGTAGCAAATCCAAATTAAAACCAAACTTATTTTCTGTTAATTTCAGAAGGTTTTTAAAATACACTGGCTCCAGCTTCACTACGGCTATGAGGCCTGTTATGGAAAGGAAGGGAAAGATAGGGAGGAATTTAGGAGACGGGGCTGAGCACAGGACCCTGAATGCAGGTATTATGCTTGGCAGTGGAAAAGCTCCAGAAGGAGCTTAAGGAAAAAAGTAGGGTCTGAAGTTGACATGGAAACCAATGAAGATTTGGGACATGGAAACTAACAGGGCGAGTGGTTTGGTCCAGGAATAGAACAGAACAGGGCTGCTGGGACAGGGAAGACAGCACAAAGGTGGCATTTCCTTAGGGGCCTGTTATTACGGTTCCTGTATGGTATTTTTGAGTTTCATTAGTTCAAATATTTGTGAAGATGTGAAATCTGGATGCAAATCTTGAAACTCACCTTTCGTGATCCAGCAGCTTTCATTTCGTACACATCAATTGTGTAATTTGTTCTCCGCCCATAGGTGTCAAACTGGATGTTCCCTGTCATTCCTTGAACTTGTACCTTAAGGGAATAAACAGAAAAAAACTTTTTAATAAAAGATTCACTTTCTTTTTCCGTCTATTACATGCT